TTCAAATAACCTCTAATTAATATATGTTAAACAACATAGCATGCTCATTACATCTATCAAGTCAAAAGTGCGAAATGAGCAAGATATCATCAAATGGAATTTAATTAATTTAAAACAATTAAATCTCTAAATTTCAAAAGTTGTTCAAATTGTCAAGCACTAAGTGATGGTCATACCATATATCAAGTCAAAAATGGAATACGAGCAAAACTCAATTTACTAGAATTTAAATCAAATTAAATTTTTTAAATCTCTAGATTTGAAAATTCATTTAAATCATTCCAATTTAATATATATCAAAGATTAAGCTATGGCCATGTCATATACCAAGACTAAAGTAAATTATATGCAAGTTATGATACATCATTAATTTCTCAATTTAGCAAAAGACATGCATACAACTTATATATCACTACAAAAGCAAGAAATACCCTTAGGTAATAAATTATAACAGCCCCTACCTCACAAGAGGATTGTTCCTCTTGAATCCAAGGCAAATCAACACAAAATGGCAAACCCTTCAAGGGTTATGAAGAGGAGGATGAGGGGAACAAAAAGTATTCCCAAGGTTAAACTTGGAAATCAATGGAAGGCTCTCAAAAATCAAGGTCAAATCGTTAAGGCTCTAAACTTCATCCATAGAGGCTAAGGTTTATGGTGAGGAAGGTAATGACATATTGTGAAAAAAATGTGAGTGGAGGAAATAAAAATCCTCCACTCACTATGTGATCCTACACCATGGTTAACACATATATCTTTGGTCAATTGCACAAAAACCCTCCTTTAAAACCATAATCCCAAAGTAGTCCAAAAATAATTGCAAGACTTAATTGTGAACCTACACTTGTCACAAATCTAAGCTTCCTTCATAGGCTTAATCTTAAGCCTACATTTGTGAACCATCTAAGCAAACAAGTGCATCAATCCTAGGCCAACAAGTAGATGAATCTCCACCCTCCAAATGTCACAAGATGATGGATCCAAGTCACTCAACCCCAATGCCAACAAGTGGCACCAAGAGAATGTGACACTTGTCACATTTTTCAAAAATTGTAAAAGGTCCTTTTCCAAAATATCTTCTAAATTAAATTACAAAATAGTCCGTAAGACGAAAAATAATTACTTTATTTAATTACACTAAAACCCCACAAGTTAAGAATAATTATAATAAAGTATGCATCCATACCCTTTACAAGAAAAGTAAACACTTAACATGCTTTTCTAAAAAAGTAAAAATACACATGGCATGAAATTCAAATATCATGGATGCATGCAAAACCGGAATCAAATCCGAACACAAAAAGTGAGGTTGTGCAAGGAAAAATGATAAACAAGAAAAAGACGAAAAGTGAATAGTGTCCAGAAAAAATAAAAATGTGGAAATGACACGATCCTCAAAAGAAGTTGTCAATTCAAGAAAAAGAGTCTCGGAAATCATTCCAGAGTACTCAAAATGACATCAAGTGATGAAAAACCAAACACAGAAAAGAAAAAATAACAGAAAAAAAATATCCGTAAAAATTTGAGAAAAGAAAAGGAAAGAAAATGACCGGGTCATTACAATATATATGTGTGTGTGTGTATGCGTGTTAGCGTAATGATGCAGGTTCAAATACATATCTTGAGTATCATCATTGAAACTAAGATATACCATAGATAAAACCCTAAGTTGATATTTTAATCAATGTTATGAAAAAAGGATCGAATAGGAGTTTATGAGAACAAAAGAGAAAATTAATGACAAGAAATTAAATAGGCATACACAAAACGAGACAAGGATTTACGTGGTTCGGCTATGCCTACATCCACGGGAAGAAGACAGAACAATATTTCAATATAGAAATAAAGAGATATAAGACAAAGTGGCTCACACCCAAAATCCAATTACACCTAAACTCTCTCACCCACTAACTGATATTACAAACTCACTCAATTGATTTGGGATACTTCAACACCATTGAGGGCAAGGCTATTTATAGCCAAAATGGGACACCAAAATGAGGCTACTTGGTGACCACTCAAACGACTTGCTGGACACACATTCTTGGAGGCCAAGAATAAAACTTGATGAACACATATACTTGGAGGCCAAAAAGATGATGTCATGGGTGATGCAAGCCTCAGATTGAGCCACATGTTCAACAAATCTCCACCTTGGCAAAAATTTAAATGAGCCACTGTATCTCTGCAAAACAAACTGTCTTCTCCACAAAACAAAATTAATTAAGAATTTTAGTTAAGTTTGAGTCATGCATCCTCAAACTTAACCCTCGGGCTCTCATTCTTCAACCAATGCATGTCTTGCGCAGCCACAAGCATACCTCTAATATTTCTGTCAAACTCTAAGTGCTTACCAAAACCATCATCAGAAACTCTAAGTTTGACATCTCTTTCAGCAACCTTCTCCAACCGCCCACAAACCACCGCCTGGTAATGAAAAGTCATCTTCTCACCTTTGTGGAGAATAGGACGTCCTTGACTTTTCCTCGCATCTCTGTTGTGACCAACTACTTGCCTCCTACACATCTTAATGGCACCCGAATAGATTATCTCATTGCCACCAAAATTATTGCAAGTCAATATCACACCTGTCCTCATGGGTCTGCCTCCCTGTAAGGACTACCAGTGGCGGACATAGAGGGGGGCTTAGGTGGGCTTGACCCCCCCACCCCCTACCCAAAAAAAAATATATATATATATTTTTTAGTATAGGTATGTTCAGCCAATGTTTTTTTTTAAAAAAAATTTAATAGTAGTATTAGCCCCCCTTTTAACTCATCCAAAAAAGTCCAATATCTAAGCCACAATTTTAAAACAAAGGCCCAACCAAATAGGCCTAAGCCAAACAAGCCCTAAACCAATCAAAGCAAGAAAACTCCTAAATTCTTAATCTTCGCACAAATCAGAGAGTTCATTCTTTCTCTCTCTCTAAAGTCTAACCCTAGTTCCTCTAAAATTTTCTAACTCTTTAATCTTTCGATCCCCAATTTCCCATTCTTCGTCGCCTAAGATTCACTCATCTTGTAAAGTTTGGCGTTTCGTGACTTTCGTCTCAGAAGACACTCCATTGCAGGTATTTTTTTTTTTTCCTAATTGATACTCTCACACACATGACACATGTCTCTTTTGAGACTTAAACCCCCTTTTGAGAAAGCCAATAGGGTTGTTTTGCAATTGCATGTCTTTGATTAAATCTCATTTGGATTTTTAATATTTATTGCTCTTTGGAATTTATTTATTGAAACAGCAGATGGGTTCGTTGATACTGTTGAATTTTCTGTTCTTTTGTCTTTATTTTGACAATTTGTTGAATAAAGTCTTTGATTTAAGATTCTCTATATAATATATATATAGGCAGAGCCGCAGAGGTTAATGGTTATGAACTGTGGTTTTGGTACTGTGATAGACTGATAGTCTAATAGTTGACTCAATTTGGTCTTTAGTTATAGACCTTTTATATATTTAATATTTTGTGTATTTGACAATTTTGTTGAATAAAATAATTGATTTGAGTTGTTTATGACTTTATCACATGTATATATAGGTAGAAGTATATTGAATTACTGAAATAGACATATAGTGATATACATATTCTGTTCTGTCCTAACCCTTCTCTTGAAAAAATCACGCGGATAGTCCAGAGGAATTAAGAAAAGCCGAGTCTCGGCGAAGTTTCAGCTTGCTCAAATTTCAGGCACCACAAAGGTGAGCTTTACTACTTTAGATTCAACTTTATACATTTTCATATGTGTATATATATATAATTATATTTGTGTAGAGATAAATGTATGAAAGCATATAAACGACCAGCTTATAATTTTTGTATTTGGTGCATATATGTAACTTTTGCCATTGATTAGTAGAGAATAGAATTTGGGTCACTTCATTGTTGATATTTCTAATTTATTACCTGTATTTATTATTGCAATTCATTATTCACTCCTCATGGTTGTTAAATTTGATTTAGGTATTTTTAATTTAACTCATTCTTTAATTTTATTAGGTTAAAAATAATAATGGCTCAACATCAACCGCCAAACAAGAAAGTAAAAAGTATGTCTATTCTCTCATTCTATCAAAAGAAAGGCCAAATGAGCGACGATTATCAATCGAAAAAGGATATACCTAGTGCATCTAACATTGACAATGATCTTAATTCACAACCTCTCGCCCTACCTTAAGTTGTTGAACCCCAGCAACTCTATTCCACTTATATTGAAAGAGATCCCGGGTTACGTATTCAAATACATGAATACCCGGTGAATCAAAAGGATGAGGTTAGACGAACTTATATCAATTTGGAGCCTTATCAACCTAAACTTTCCAATTATCCTAACTCTTGGGAGAGAAGGCAGAATCGGTGATTTAAGTATGAATGGTTCCAACAATTTCCTTGGCTAGAATATTCTTCTTCAAAAGATAAAGCATATTGTTTTCCATGCTTTCTTTTTGAAGAAAGAAATATAATGCGGTGCCGTTCTTCACTTATTGATGATGGATATAAGAATTGGAAGAAAGTTGGTGATGGAGATAATTGTGTATTCTTGAAACACATGGGACTTCAATCTTCACCACATAGAAAATCTACCATGCTTTATGAAAATTTAAATAAATCGGCACAACATATTGATAAAGTGTTGAATGCCTAGTCAAGAGAAGATGTTTTGAAGAATCGAATGCGGCCTAAGGCAACTATTGAAACCATTATCTTCCTAGCATTGCAAGGAATTGGTTTTAGAGGCTATGATGAAAGTTCAAGTTCATTAAATAGAGGGAGTTTTATTGAAGCGTTGAAGTATAAAACAAAAGGAAATGATGAAATCTCAAGTGTTATCTTAGACAATACTCCACAAAACGCCTAATACATTGCTCCATCGATTTAAAAAGAGATTCTTCATATTCTTGCAAATAGAGTGAGAAAAATGATTTGTGATGAATTTGCGGGAGGCAAATATTGTATTCTTGTTGATGAAGCACAGGATGAGTCTAAAATGGAGTAAATGGCTCTTGTATTAAGATATGTTAAGCATGATGGTGTGCTAATGGAATGCTTTTTTGACATTGTGGGAGTTAAAAACACATCAGCAGTGACGCTTAAGGACGCAATATCTGGTATGCTTGCTCGGTTCGATCTTTCAATTCAAAATTTGAGAGGTTAAGGGTACGATGGTGCGAGTAATATGCATGGCGAATGGAATGGTCTACAAGTATTATTTCTTAAAGATTGTCCATTTGCTTATTATGTCCATTGTTTTGCTCATCGATTACAACTAGCACTAGTTGCAGCAGCAAAAGATGAGCGAAAGATTTGGCAATTATTCTCTCACTTGACTTGTATTGTCAATCTTGTTACTTCCTCTCCCAAGCGTGTTGGTGAATTAAAATCTTCTCAAAGGGATGAGATTGCACGTATGTTGAGCACAGGTGAACGTTAATCTGGTAAAGGGGCTAATCAGTTTGGCACCTTGCATCGAGCTGGAGCTACTTGTTGGAGTTCACATTATGATTCTGTTAGGAACTTGATTGATATGTATACTGCATCCTGCACAGTTGTTGAAAGTCTTAGAAAGGGTGGGCAAAATCAACAAATACGTGGGCAAGCTTTAAGTGTTTACAATGCAATGAGAAGTTTTAAATTTATAGTTATCTTGCACCTAATGGATAGCATTATGGGATTCATTGATGCACTTTGTTAGGCCTTGAAACACAAATCTCAAGACATTTTAAATACTTTGAAATTAGTCTCAACAACCAAAACTCTGCTTCAAAAATTTAGACAAGATGATTAGGATATTTTCCTTGCAAATGTGGTGTCATTTTGCATTCAACATAACATTGATATACCTGATTTGACTTCTTGTTATGTAGAGGGTACTAGTCGTCATTATCAGCAACAAAATAATATCATAGTTGAGCACCATTATCATTTTGACATTTTCAACTCTATAATAGATTTACAGCTGATGGAGTTAGACCATAGATTCAACAATGAAGTAGTGGAACTTCTTACTCTTGACTCAGCTTTGGATCCTAGTGATTCTTTTAAATCTTTTAACGTGGAGAATATTTACAATCTTGCTGAGAAATTCTATCATTGGGACTTCACTCATCAAGATCTTAAAGTATTGAAGATTCAGCTAATGCATTATCAACTTGATGTACCTAGTGATCTCGAGTTTCAAAATACTTCTTCTCTTATAGATTTATGTGGGAAACTAGTTGTGAGAAGGAAATCCAAGTGCTACCTTTTGGTTGACAGATTGATCTGTCTTGTGTTGACTCTTCCCGTTTCTACAGCAATTATGGAAAGAGCATTTTCAGGCATGAAACGTATTAAAACAGCGATGCGTAACACGATGGGAGATGAATTTCTTGCTGATTGCATGACCATCAACCTTGAACGGGACCTTGTTTGGAAAATTAACTTGGAATCTATTATCGATGAATTCGAGTCTTTAAAAACTCGATGAACACAACTTAGATAAATATTTTGTAATATTTGATTTCAAATATTTATCTAGATTATGTTATAAAAAAAAAAAATTTTGCTTATGAAATTGTGTTATTAAATTTATGTTCAATACTTGCCCCCCTCCCCATTAACAATTCCTGGATCCGCCCTTGAGGACAACTGCAATTTTGGTTGCCATTTGAAAATGGATTTCATTCTCCCACCATGTTGTGTAGTCCCCTCATAACCCTTTTGAGAACTAGGATTGTAACTCCTCTTTTTAACTCTTCTTTTGCCAAGAGCCGAACGTAGATTTCTGTTAACTATAGAAGACCCTATAGAAGCTCCACCTATTACTGTATTCCCTTGAAGAAGATACAAAATTTTCACCTTGGTGCCCTGTAGCACCACAAGAGAATCCATCACGACCATTATTGCTCCACCTTCTGTTACAACCTTGTAACCTTTGGAGTCTAGCATACCTACTGAAGTAAGATTCATCTTCAGTTTCAGTACATGTCGCACATCTGACAATGTTCTCACCAACCTGATGGCTTCGTGTGTCGCCATACCACCATCAAGCTTGAGAGAGAGTGCATTAAGGCGAGGGTCAAGTTTTACATTTATAAAAGCCACAACTACCTTCACTAAAAATATAGTTAGGGTGAGTAGGGATCGTCCCAAGGGATTGGAGTCGTACTTGGTTGTGGAATCGCAATTAGGGTTAGTAGGTCGAGTGATCAAACAAATGGTTGGTTGGTTGATTAAACTAGAGAGCAACTAAATTAAACTAAATAATTGAATGCAACAAAGGGTAAGTAAGAGAGAGAGAAATCTTGGGGTTTAGAGGTCACTGCCAAGCAATGTTTTTTTACACCTCTAACTAGTGACTAATAAGGGTAATGTGTGTTGCAATATTGGTGTGTGTGTGTGTTTGGTTGATTCAATTAGCAAAGGTGACCAATTAAGCATGCATTGTCTAATCAATATGTGAAAAGCACAATATATCTAGCAATTAAGTATATATTGTCTAAATAGCATGTGAAAAGCACAACATATCTAGCAAGTCATTAATCTTTTCATTAAGCTCATAAGCCAAATACACCACAAGGTTAGAGACATATGTTACTTGCATTCAAAAGTATGGAACATCAAACAACTAGCATGGATTTTCCTCTCATCTAACAACTATGCTACCACTACACTACAATTAGGCTAATGACATGAAATTAAACTAATTAAGCTAAGGAAGAGGCATAATCCATCAAGAAATGAGCATGGACCATCTTGAAAATCACAAGAGCATTCTTTTAAGTACAATATTTTGACAATCTCTAAATCTATAGCATTAATACACATAGACATGCATCAATAACACAAGAAATAGAGGCAAACACATGAACATCTATTCTAGCATACATAGACATATGGATAGAATGAAATGATTAATTGGAAGCATTAAACCACATAAATCATTGAATAAACAAGATCTATATATATATAAGTGTTAAAACGTGTATTACAACACTAATCCCTCAATAATACACAAGATTAAGATATAGAAAGCATGCTTGGGGCTAGCTCTAGCCCCAAGAGGATGTCTAGCCACTCATGGTGATGTTGCTCCAACCCTCAAGGGCTAACTCCATGGAAGAGATTTGCTCCTTGGTTGATGAAAAGTCTCCAATGGTGTCTCTTGCCTCCTCCTCCTCTAAACTTGCTCTCAAAGAGAATAAACCCTAGGATTGTATATATCTCAAAAAGTGCATCATATTCCTTTTATAGGTAGGTCAAGTGACACACAAAATGAGCTGGGGTCGTGCAAAGAATATTCTCTAATGATTGGCTAGAGGATGGATTGAACAAGTTGGAAATTTAAATTTTTCGCACTAGAGGAAGTTCGATCGATCGAACCTTGGACTTGGATCGATTGAACTTGCTGAGATCCATCGAACTGAGGCTGGATCGATCCAACTAGTTGAGCTTTTTGGGAAAAGACAAATCCGAGATATTTTGGGAGATATTTTTAGGAAAAAGACAAAAGTGGTTAGTGGGTGGTACAGCTGTGGATAGGATCAATCATTTGAATAAGGACAAAAGTGTTCGGTCGATGGAAACGTGGTGTTGGATCGATCGAACTTTGGACTTTTTGCTTTGGGTTAAGGCTTGGATCTATCTTGAAGTACTGAGATTGGTCAGTGTTCGATCAATCGAACCTTGAAGTTGGATCGATCGAACTTTGTTGCTTCCCACCTTTGGCTTCATTTGTATTCTTCTTTCTCCACTTTGCTCCTTTCTTTGTTTAATCCCAGAATTACTTCAATTAAGCTCTTATTTGGTTGAGTTAGCTTATTTTCGGGATAAGTGCCTGAAAATGGAAATAATACGAAATCAATCTAAAACGGTAAAGTAAGATAGATAAAGGTACTAGAATGCCTAAGCTTAAGGGGTTTAAATACGCACTTTTCAGTACTCATCACACCCTCAAACTTAAATATTGCTAGTCCCTAGCAATGAACTACAAAGTATACAACTATACAACTATGAACCAGAAAACAATAAATGGATAACACCACTTTTGTAGGGAACACGATTGCACTTAGCTTATGCAACAAGCCTTTTAATCCCCTAGGTTACCCCTAGTGGACGAGTGAAGTCTCGTGAGGGTTTCCAGAAATGGTACCCACAAACATTAAGCTCATTCTCACAAAAGAGACACCAGTATTGCAAACAAGCATTGGGAGAAGACTACCTCAAGTATGCAAATTTTCAAACATTTCTAAGCAATCTCTCAAAATCTCAACATCAAGCAAGCAAGTATGGTCCTCCACACATCAAGAAAATGATCATGCAGATCAAAACAACTCTAGAATTCTTTTGAGTGGACCGACATCAAATGTGTTGCTATCTAAGCCAACTAAAGAATTAATCACATCCTTACCCTCAAACTAGCACACAAATCTAGTACCGATCATCAAGACAAAAAGTGGACCTTTTATTAAAACTTTATTGTTCTAGATGCGCTTATTCTTTTCGCTCATATATATATATATATATATATATATATATATATATATATATATATTTATAGGATCAAAGATGGAAGCATGGTGCAATGTGTTGATCTATTAAGCTTTCTAGTGATTCATGAGGTCGAGCGTTAGGTCAATAACTTCTAAACTAGACGGCTTTAGGGCACTAGGTGTTCAAACACCCCTACGGACTTACAAGCTCAAATCAACTAGGTTACAAATCAAGACAACAATCATCTAATCATTTCCCACTTCTCACCTTTTGGGAGAAATCCTCACTTTTTATTGCTTTTTTTTTTTTTTTTTTTTTTTTTTTTTTTTTTTTTTTGTATTCAATTATTAACCTAGAGTTTGGGCCTTCCACCTTTCGGCGCGAGAAGTTCAGTGCTTGATGAGGGTAGAATCACGGCTACTTAGTAAAAAGGGGTTGTTATCCACCTTTATCAAGAATGAAAGCTTTCAATGCACTACTAGCGCATTTGGGATATAACCAATTCAATAATCAACAAAGCATGTACCCCATAAATGAATGCTAGTGTGCGCCTGTGCTAGTGTAGAATCCTAGAATGAATCTCAAAGCAATCACAAAATCAAGATGATGTGGACCATAAGTGTAAGCAAGATATCAATCTTTCGAAAAATTTACTCCTAAATGGCATCCCTAAGGCATACAAGGAGTATTCGACTCTCAAGTCAAACAATTTTTAGATTTTAAGTAATATAGTCCTCAAAAGATCAAGATCATAGCTAGATATGGACCAATCATAAAAATATCCCTCAAATACACAAGTCATGCTTAAAATTTTGAATTTTAAAACTAACACTGCAAATCACCATTCCCCCCAAACTTAAATGGCACAATGTCCTTAATGTGCAAGAGAACAACGGAAAGAGTATACAAGTGTAACTAAGGCATAGAATAATTAGGACTAAAGTATCCAAAGTGGGTGGCATGGCCCCCCCAAACTTGGAATGAACTGTGGTCCTAAAAATTGGCACTTAGATAAACTTATCAGATAACAAAATGGGATAATTAGTGCACAGTGGACATGCAAGTGTAAATGGGATAAACTGATAAAGAGATGAGAGAGGTGTAAGGGTGGTCCTAAAAATCGGGTGGCACTCTCTCACTGAAGTCACTGTGATGCACCTGATGGAGTTAAAATGACAGATGTATCAATAAAAGCATATGACATCCATCATAGAAAAAAACAACAATAAAGTGCAATACATCCAGTGTCAAAGCCGACAGATCCGGCTGCAAAAATAATAGTATCACAAGTGTAACAGACACATAACATAGATAGAGAGCATAAAAAGATAAAGAGACTAGGAGTCTCAGGCAGAGAGAACTTCGCGGATCTCCCTGGCTAAGTCATCAATGGCAGTCAAGATCTCCATACGGAGTCAAGCAATGTCAGCTTTAATGGCAGCCATCATATTCAGACGAAGGGTAGCAATGTCAGCTCTAAGGGTAACCAGCATATCCTCTAAACTCTGAAGGTGCTCTTCTAAGTGACATATCTGATCATGAGCCTTAGGTATGGCTGAAGTAGAAGAACTATCATTCTTAGTCATGGTCTACAAAAAGGAAATCTTGCAATGGGAGTTAGTGCTAGAATAACGAATTGAAGGCACAATAGAAATATGTTTGTCAAATAAGATAGACAAAACATATATGACATGAATCTATGCAAGTGATAGGATGTGAAGCATACTAAGTGATATAAGTATGAAATGCACCCAATGTGAAATATCATAGACATTGGGCATATATAAGATAGCATGAACACAAGATATGAAGAATAAAGTGTGTGTGTGAGATCTGTGAAATTTGATCGATCAGAAAAAGAAGTGAGATCAATCAAAAAGTTGGATCGATCAAAAATAAGTGAGATCGATCTCACAACTTCGATCGATTTGAGACACAAGTTTGATCGATCGAACTGTGTTGTGTGAAAAATGAGAAGTCACAGATCTGTGACTG